GATTTCACCAGGGAAGCAGACCAGTACCCATGCAGGTCTCAGCTCTGAGACTGACTCCTTTCATGTCCGGTTGGCATCTCTGAAGCAAGTTCCCTCAGGAAACAGAAAGCCCAGGAGAGTTCTCCAGCTCACATCAGCCCCTGGGCTACACCTGTCCTCACAAAAGGAGGTGACACTTGACTACATCTTTCCCTTCTCCTCCCCCCTCCCCAACCCCTGAGGTGCCTTTCAAACAGCCAGAATTCCTTTAAAGAGTAATCTAGGAATGTTTCAGGTGACATTCAAAAGGGCATCGTAATTCAAATGGAAATGCAGAAGTTCATTCCTTTGGACAGTCTTGGGAAATTAAAATAGAGATAAAACATCTCTTAAAGGTGGCAACAGGCATTTATCTGTGGGGACATCTCTATGTTATAGGCTCTCCCAATCTAAACTCAAGAGCAGTTTAACCTTCACATGGAGAATGTCCTTTCATCAGGGTCACCGAGTCTCTAAACTTGGAAAAGACATATTAATCGCATACACTTTCTCTTCTACACTTTTTGTTTCTTCATTTCTCTTTGTGGATTTTGGTTTCCCTGTGTCTATCTCTCTTTGTTTTTCTGTCTCCTCCTATTTCCCTCAGTCAATCTCTCTCTGTCTCTATCTCTGTCTGTCCCTGTGTCTGTCTCTCTCTCACACACACAGAGAATGAACAATTCCTTTACATGCACACATCCTTTACCTTCCACAGTCACTTTCTCCGTGAAAAAGAAGCCACTGAAAATTCAGGAAACCTATCGGACTCATAATTTCTGCATTCATCACTATCCCCTCTGAATAGAGAATGACAAGGGATAACAGAAGTGCAGGTGTCACAGACACCTCCCTAGTAGAGCTCCAAGGCTCCCTCCCTCACTGGCTCCACCCCAGCAGTCCCTCTCCACCTGAGTCCAGTCTACCCCTGTCCTTAGTGCTGAGTCAACTGACAAGAGCGGAGTAAAGTAGCAGCCATGTCTCCCCCTGCCCCAACATATACACGTGTGTACCTACACACACACATCTGGGATCACGGTTACCCGAGTGTATGCGGCAGCCATGGGTGGAGGGAGTGGACTGGATCAAGATAGTAATTAGATGCCTGGCTCAGTGGTAGATAAATAGGTCCATCATTGATGCGTCTATGCTGTCATTGGATCCCTACCTTGCATATGGGAAAGTAGATCTTAGAGTGTGAACCGATTTGCCCAAGATCACACAGTTTGTAAGAGGGAAGCTGGGATCTGAACCAAGGTCCATCGACTGCAAAACCTGTGTTTTGTCTGCAAATGAGGAAGTCTTTATCCAAGATAGCCAGAAGAAGGGTAACTTTATACAGGGAGTCTTAATCATGATATAAGACTCATGCATTGAGGTAACGGCTAGGAAGAATGTGTGAATATTAAGTCAAAGAGTGAAGTGAAGCCCCAATTAGGAGAAAAGTAGCTTTTCAAAATATAGGTGCATCAGGAAAACAGTAGCATATAGTGAAAATATTAAGCTGCGGCAAGAAACTAAAAACTTGACGTGGTGCTTGGAGCACGGCCTGGGAGCAGAGGTGATGGTTAAAGGAACCTGACAGGCTGAACAGCTTCCAAGCTAATCATACCTGGGCTGGAGTTTCTGGGGATGACTTAAGCTATTCTAGTTGCCTTCTAAGGTCCAGCTCTTCCTGGCTTTGGCTGGTACCATCTAATTGACCTGTCCAGTGCTCCAGTCCCTTCTAGACTGGTGGAATGCCCATAATATCCACTTGGTGATAGGAAACCCCGCCTCCCTGCCTGGATCTTTCTAGTTCTTGTTGGCATGCCCAGTGCCTCTCTGGAATCATCATCTGAAGCTGGGTCTGTTGTTCAAGCTTTCATTTTGCCCTATTACAGGGAAACAATACAAAGGTATGGACAACCACTCTCCCTTTCTGCAAAGAGCAGATATTGTTCATTGATCTCAGCGTTCTTTCCCAGTGATCCCAGTGACCTTCACATACTGGTCTAGAAAAGCCACTCCCCAGCGAATCAGAACTGGTACATGAAACGAGTTATGGGCCATCGTATGACAGTGACTGGGTTCCCCACCACATGCCCAGCCACCTGCCTTTCTCCAGCCGTCTATCAGTAGATTAAAAAAAAAAAAAAAAGTCTATCACAAGAATGACAAAATGTTGGAAGGCTAATACAGGCTGGACCCACGTGAGGACAGCACCCATGTCTTGCCTACCGCAATGCCCCAGCATGTGGCGCGAGGTCTGCTGGGAAGAAGCACTTAGGAAGTACCGGTGAACCAGAGGTTAATGAATGACTCGTGGGAGATATTTTAATCAGGCACATTCACCCCAACTCCCTTGACTTTCCATGACTTCTAGTGGCTGGATCACAACAGTGGCCAGAGCTCCATGATTAGTGAACCTGGAAAGGCTGGGACGTTTGTTTCTAATGTCTGGGGACACTGGATGTGGGCTCAGGTTGGAATTTAAACACCAGCTCATTCAGTAGCAAACTGTGTGTCCCTGGTAAGCCGACAATCTCTTTTAAGTTCAGATTTCCCTTCTCTAAGATAAAGGGTGAGTATTCGTGCCTTCTCTGCCTCAAGGGGTAGGTGGGAGGACTGAAGGAAGGCTGTGTGTAAACTGTGAAGGGCTGTACAATGTCCGTGGTTCTTATCCACACCCTGTTTGGTCTCTTCACAGCCTGCTCTTTCAGCCTTGGCGTTTCCTACCAAGAAGAAACCACCATCTGGGTCTAAACATAGATTTCAAAGAATCCTGGAGCACTCCACCCTCTACCCTTGCTGGGCTGAAAGGATATTTGCAGGGACTAGTGACACAGGTGCTTTTCAGGGAGAAATGAGGGCTGTGGCCACACATTAGCAAGAGCTGTGGCCAGGACTACAGTCCTCAGCTGATGTCCATAACGTCACTTCACATTAAGCAACTGTTTTTTATGTACGTATTGCATGCGATGTGTCTTACCTGTATTATCTCATTTCATTCTCCCAAAAGCCTTGTAAGGAAATTACTATCCCTCACTTACCAAACAAGGAGACCGAAACTTAGAAGTTACTTTGCCTGAGGCTTCCTGGCAGGGATGTAAGAAGACGTATCGGGACTTGAAATCCTGTCTGTCCCACTTCGACACTGTTCTAATCCGTCTTCTTCCCACAAGCTCTGCCCCAAGAGTGATCAGCTTCCAAACCCAGATTCATCCTGACCTGGTCCCCAGTGAACCCTGGTTTCACTGATGTCAATGACACACGGTTGACATATAGATGTCAGTGATACACAGGTGGCTGGGGAGAGAAGGGACACACACCAACTATCTCTGAGTCCAGAGTCCTTTCTGTCCTTCGTGGGCAAATTTCCAGCTTCTCATCCACCTCCTCCCCAGCATCACTTGCAAATTTAAAAGTAAAACTACAGTGTTTGATGTACCATCCAGGTGGTCACATCAGGTAGAGACAGAGAGGAAGAAACACACACAGATCAGCTGGCCTCAGTGTATCCCTATGCTCTTCTGGGAGCGAGCACGGACGAGGGAAGAAAGAAAGGTGCCTTTGCCCTGGAAGCCCAGAAGGAAAAGCTTCTGTACCGAGTCCACCCAGCAAGTTTGTGGAAAACTTGAAGGTTCTCTGAGTCTTGAAGGGGGTCCCCAGCTGCTCTTTCAGCATTCTGTCTGCCCTCGTCCCCATCTTACTTGCCAGAGATTCCATGCATCCATTGTATATAAGAAATAGCATTTTCTGGAGTGAAAAAGTCCAAGGCCTGGAAGCAGCCGAGGGTGGAGATGGGGTGGGATTCAGCACTAACGCAGCATCCCAGGCCCCAAATGCCGGACGAGGCAAATTGGTTCAGCGGCCACAGTGAGCGAAGGTTTTTATAAACATAACCTAATTGTATTACTTCAAAGTCCGGAAGCTTATTGCCCTGCTTAATGATGTGTCACCTTATTTATAGGGTAGCACAATGAGACTTCTATTGATTTAATGCACTTCCTTAAAGACTGTTGTCGTCACAGCCATAAACCGGAGCTATTCCCAGACAACTCAATTATTCCCCTGCGCCTATAAACCACCCCCGGTGCCCCAAACAGTCGCACACACGAGAAAGGGAGGGATGAGACCATGACAGGGTGGAGAGTGCAAAGGGAACTGTTCGGGAAAAGACAAAGGGCTTCATCCAGTTGGGGATGAGGGGCTGCATGAGAAGAGCTAGACAGGGAGTGTGCCGCGTCCCGCTGTGTCTTGGCTCTATCCAGAGGAGCTGTGTGACTCTGAGCAAGATTCCTCTTCCCTTTCAGCCTTAGTTTTCCCAGGTGTGCAATGGGAGTGCTGAGCCCAGTGAGACCTGCCAGGTCCCTGTGGCTCCCACATTCTGTGGTTTTAGGAGTTACGGTCAATCTGGTTCTTGGAGATAGGATGGCTGGTCCATATGGAGAAGGTGCAAGCACGTTTTAACACTACTCCTCACCCTTTCTGTCGATCGAGAGACTTTCTTTTCAAATTAATTGATAATAATAGTAACAATGGTAACAGGAAGTGATCCTCACCCTGCTATGTGTGTCTGCAGGGCACTTGTTGGCTTATCTGAGATTCATCTTCTCATCTGTGAAATGGGGCTGTGACTACATGGACCTGTTACAATACATAATGCGTGTGTGCCATAGTTCCATCTTTCTCCAAATGCTACTGCATAAACCACTTTCCTTTAATGTAGGAGGGAGACAGGAATGGCTAAAGTACCCATTTCACAGGAAGGGAAAACTGAGGTGGGAAGGGAATGGATTTCCCAAGGGGAGTGGCACAGACTGGTCTCCTGCGTCTGGGAAATTCCAATTCTGATAATAGCTGAGAATCGGAGGGAAATAAGATCTGCTGACCCTCCCTGAGGATAAAAGTCTCTCCATGGCAGAGGCTTGAAACTGTCCCCCAGACATGAGGTGACTGCTCCCAAAGGAGCCAGAGCTCTTCTTGGGTTCTTTCAAGAGCCTGAAGAGAAGAAGGTGTCAAGGAGACACACTCCCACCCCACAGCCTCCTCCACCCGCCGACCCTGGCAGTTGTTTCAAGGGGAGAGAGTGGGAAACAAGGAGCGTGCAGTAGAAGGCCAGGGTTCTGGAGTCCGGAACACCACCCCGGGTTCTCAGGAAATGCCTGAACTGAAAGACTCCTGAGAAAGCATCACACAGCCCTTCATTCCATCCACAGTGAACGAGAAGCCCAGAGAGGGGCAGGGACTTGCCTAAGGCCACCCAGTTTCTATGGGGCAGAGCCAGGATTTAGCTCCCAGGGAGCTCAGTTATCTCCCCCGCAGCCTTACCCCCGCACTGCATCTGGCCACCACCTCCAGCAAGCCCTCCAGGCTTACCTTTCTGATACTGGAGCCACAGCTGCTGCTGGACCTTCTTGCTGGGGAAGTGGATGACGCAGGTGAGCTCGGAGCCATAGAGGGCTTCTGCGACGTAGTGTGAGCCGTAGTGCTGGATGAAGGACAGCAGCTCCTCCCGACTGCTCTCCTTGGTCAGGATCTTGAGGACGTCGGTGAAGCCTGGACAGGGGAGCAGCACGCAGAGGTGGTCAGGCTTGGGAGGCTGGTGGCCGGCAAATGACAAGCCTGGACTTGGTGCTTTATCCATCACCATGGTGGCAGCCACGTGTGCACAGCTTTCCCTCACTTATTTTGCAAAGACTGCTCTCGCTGGTGGACACACAAGACACTAGGACTGACACGGAATCAACAGCAGAGGAAGGCCTAGAGCTGGCGATCTGAACATCACAACCAGGAAAAATCAAAGCTGATATCTACTGAGCACCTAGCGTGTACCAGGCACACTGCTAGATGTTCCGGACACTTTGTCTAATTTAGCCCAGCACTGCAGTCCCAACCATAATAAGCCCTGTGGAGTGGATGAGCAAGTCAAAGGTCATAAACTGGAGCTGATTTGCCTTTGGTCCTCCAGCCAGAGGAGCTAGGATTCCAACCCACTTCTCTTCTCACCCCAGGATGCGCGCACTTCCCATGTACCCAATTATCCAGGGCCTGAGCTGTCCACGGCTGGAGCCTGGGGGCTGCACTAGCCCAGGCTCAGCAGACAGTCTGTGCCCTCATATCTGATCCCTGGCTTAGCTTCCTGTAACATCACTTCCCTTTCTGTCCCTGCCTCAGCCTCCCTAAAACAACAGTTATGTCCTTTCTCCTGCCATTGTCAAGGGCCTCCTTGCTGTTCCATTGCCTTTAGTCCTATGCCAAAGGGGCCTGAGTCCTCAGTGCCTGGCATGGGGCCTGCACAGCAATCATTCAGTAACCACTGCCCCTCTGCCTTCCTTCTCCTCCTACAGGCAGGTCACCAAGCTATTTTTCCAGGGGCCTTAAGACCTTCTGGGCTCCTCCCTGCTATGGATAAAGCTCAATGACCTTACCTGGGTATCCCAGGCCTCCAAGGTCATCTCCCATGAGCTACATACATCAGGCTTTATCTGTGGCCACATCAGTTTTCTTATTTCTCCTGTATGTGATCTGGGATTTCCATCATTTTTTCTTTATGTATATCCCTCCCACACTCTCAACACACACACACACACACAGACACACACCCCACGATTTACCTGGAATGGACTCCCACTTCCTCCCTAAGTCACACTCATGCTTTCAGGCCCCAGGAAGTCACCCCTCCCCCAAGAAGCTTTTCCCACCATCTGGAGCACCCACCCTTTGCACCTTCAACAGGCATCACCTTGAAAGCAGAAGGTCTGTCCTATTTGTCTCTGAGTCTGCACATGCATCCTTCCCCACCCACAAGTCAACCAGGTTCACGGCACAGATCCCGGACACGGCAGACACACCGACGCCCATTATTATAAGAACAGCTGACTCTGTGCCACATCAAAGTAGAATGTAAAAGAGCAAGCTCTTCTTCGCCATGAAAAATGCGCTCCAATGTGCGAACATTTGATTTACAAGGGAGTTCTCGGGAGCGTCATTATTGATTAATTAAAGTAGATACACCTTTGTAGTTCTAACAGGAACAGGGCAGTGTTATTCACAAGCGCAGGTGTAAAGGTGTGGGTGGTGGTAAAAACAGAAACAGGGCTCAAAGAATGGGTCCTTGATTAGAACAACCCCTCCCCATCAACCTGTTAACCCATGCAGCTGGGTAATTAATGCAGCAGCGTTAATAATGAGATGGTTTCTGTTAAGTAGTAAATAACACCATGGAGATGCCCTGTGGCTCTTTATCCAGGCAGACAACACTGCCTTCAAATCCCTGCCCTGCTCCTGTTCTGCCACTTACTAGCTGTGTGACCTTGGGCAAGTTACTTAACCTCTCTGACCCTCAGTTTCCTTATCTGAAAAAAAAAAAGTGATAAAGAATGCCTTCCCCTCGAGACTGATGTAAGCCCTAAGATATGAAACATTATAAAGCGCTTGGGTGATGTCAGCCATAATTACTATTTATACTTCCCCATACCCAGGCTAAAAGAGTTCCATGTTGTTCACGAACGAAGCGATATTGAAAGAGAAAAGAGGAGAAAAGAGCTCGCCCACCATTTCAAGATACTTGGACAATAACCCAGTGGCAGTGTTATGAGTAAGAGTCAGGGTAGAAAACCCAAGGCCAGGCCCCATCTTTTCAGTTTTCATTTCCTTACTTTTCAGTTTTCGTTTATCTTTTATTCCTTCATCAAAACGGAGCACCAGTAATGTGCAGGAATGTAAGGTACAGGGATAAATAAGACCCAAGCCCTACCCACAGTTCTCAGGTTAGTGGGGGAGACAGACAGGATTCTGATGTGAATCAAGCACTTGTTAGTGCTTTAATATAGGCAGTTGAGCACAGGGAGTTCCTTGAATTATTCCAAAGGGTAGAGATAATGGGGGAGGCATCTCCGCGTATCGCAGGATGTGCGAGGAGATCCAGGTGGAGGAAACAGCGTGCGCAAAGTCACAGAGACAAGAAAGAAAATGTCCCATTTTGAGAACAACAAACTGTCCCTATCAGCTGAAGCACAGGGTTCGTGTGGACAAAGTGTGAGCAGCGTGTGTGTGCGTGCGTGCGTGTGTGTGTGTGTGTGTGTGTTGGTGGGGGGAGGGGAGCAGGGACTGCATTACTGCTGAGTAGGAAATGGGCAGGAAAAGAAATCAGCCAGGAGAACCCAGAGGAATCAGTGCCTGAAAGAACTCATACAATTCACACACCTGAAGTGCTTTGAGAATGTAAGTGTGACCTAGATTATCATCTGCCCCTCTCTCCTATTCATCCCCCACACCCTGCTCAGACACCCCTTCCTCCAGGAGCCTCTCTGACTCCCCAGAATGGACAGCGGCCCCATGACTGCATTGACCTGCTGCAGTGTGTGGACACCACTGTCCTGCCTGCTTGTCCATCTGCCCTCCCTGTGAGATTGTTGATGGCGGGGGGGGAGGGGGGGGGGGGGGGGGGGCGGTGGTAGGTGGGTGGGGCGTGGCCTCATTCCCTCAGCATCTCCAGGGCCAGCATCCTTGGCGGACCTGAGCTGAACCACGCCACGCCCCCTGGCTGCGGGCGGCAGTCCTCACCTGCCGAGAGGGTGATGGTGCTGAGCTTCACGCGGTACAGGTTGCTGCGGACCCGCCACTGCTGCACCATGGGGTAACCCATGGCCTCATCATACCTGACGTCTCCTGGGGAGGGAAGAAGAAGCTCGTGTGAGCCCAGCACGTACAGGCCTCCCCCTACAAACCCACCCTGTGGCCCTGGGCTCTGGGCGACAGCCACCTCTTCTAAGTGGACAGAGGCTCGGCCCTAGGGTGAGAGCTCTCCCTGGGGTTGGCAGTTTTATCTGGACTCCACCTCCAGGCCTCTTCCTTCCTGGCCTCTGACCTCAGCCCCAACCCCGCCTTCTCTCTCTGCTCTACAGCTCACATGGCCCCCTTCACCCTACAAGCAAGAATGGGTTTACGGTTCCACTAACTCTGGTGGCGATTTGCCATGGGGTGCTAGATAGCACGGTGCCTCAGTTTCCCCATCTGATACCATGGCTACCTGGGCTGATCTTATTTCACAAGCGTATTGTGAGACTCAAATAAATTAATACCAGTGGAAGTCCTTTGGTAATCTTGAAATGTCCTACGTGTGGACTGGGGGCCAGAGAACCACAGCCCATTCATCACATACGGCCTAAGACTACTTTTGCACGATGACAGCAGAGTTGAGCAGCTGTGACAGAGAGCACGTGCAAAGCCTAACACATCTGCTACCTGACGATTTATGGACACTCTACAGACACTCTACAGACTGTCTGTTTCCTAACATGGAAACATAAGATGTCCTTTGGTAGCTCATAAAATACCTGTGCGTACACATAAAAGGTTACCATTTCAAACAAGACCAAGAAACGCTGGCTAAACAAAGTTAAAAAAGATTAAAACAAAAAAGGCTGTATAATTTCTCAGCACCTTGAATAAATTAATATGCATTTTAAAGGTACATGAAGATAGTGCGTAACGTTTTGCAAACATTTTTGACCAAGGAGCCCCGTTTTTAGGTTTCAGTGGAACTCATGTCTCATAGAACGCATCGTGTGAAACACAAGTGTAGACAAAACATAAACAAAGAAAAAAAACACAACAAAATGTTAGCAAGCGGTTAACTCAGTGTGGCAGATGTGTGAAAGATCCTTGTTTTCTGATTTCTATTCATCTCCATTTTCTAAATTTTGTGCTCTAAGCACTGCAGACTCTCTTTTTTATCATCAGGAAAAAATACGTGAAAAAGAAATGCTAGTCACATCAGCAGTTACTGTTACTGTTGTGTATCCTCTGCAAATGGCAGGCACATTTTCTGTCCTTTTCTCTTGTCCCCTGGTGAGGAGGCACTTAAAGAGATATTTGATACCAAGATGCAAATGAGAATCTCACTGGAACAAATGATTTCTTCCTGGACATTACTGCAGTATTAAAGTTGTCCATTACTATCAACTTTTTTTTCCCCCCTTAGCCCCAGGAATAATATAATTTCTTAGAGGCTTTCTTTTCATTTTAAAGTAAAATATTCATGATCCCCAAAGATATGTCCACTGGAGGGAGGTTGTTTTGTTACAAATACGTCCTCTCTGTTTATCTGCTCTGCCTGTCCTTTCCTTCCTCTGCAGACACTGGGGAGAGAAGGAGAGAGGGTGGGAGAGGAGGAGAGGGCCGTGTTTTGAGTCAGGGCAAAGAAAACAGTCTGTACAGGAAGACTAGACACCAGCACTCAGGCAGCCTCTGCCCCGTCTATGACTGCTTGCCCTAATTCTGAGCAGGCTTGGAGGGGCCGTCCCCAATAGAGGGAGGCAGATATTCTGATGCAGACTGCTGATGCAGCTTAGGCACTTGGTGGAATGGTGTCCAAAAGGAAACAAAACAAAGCAAAACAACGCTGCTGCCTCTTTTGATTATCAAGAAATTTACCAAACCATCTTCCCTGCCCCTCACCCCATCCCTGGGCCACCCCCATAAGTGATCATCACTCCATCCCTCACTTCCCCACCCCTGGTCCCTCCTGGATTCCAGCTGGAAATATAAGCCCCTTCAGTGAAATGTCAGCTCCTTGAGGTCAAGGCCATGGTCTATATTATTCCCACTCCTGCAGAGACAGAACAGAGCCTGACATATAGTAGGCTCTCAATAAATACCTATTTACTGACTCACTCACTTCCTTGCATACTATTCCTGACCAAAAACCCATCCCCGGTCCTACTCAATCTCTGACCCCCATCTTACCTGACTCTATCCTAGATCCCCACCAAAGGATTAGGGGTAAAATGAAGCCCCGGGACTGGGGGGGAGGGTATTTTTTCTGGTAAGTAAAAAAAAAAACAAAAAATCATAACCCTTAAAATATAACAGTTCCTTTATGAGGACACCTCCAAGGATCCCCAAATCAAAACAAATAATCCTAAGAGTTTGTACCACTAATGCAGAACCACAATGTACTGTATCACAAAAGCAGAGCCAGGGTCCTTACATCTTGGGAAAGTCCCCCAAAAGGGCAAGAGAGGAACTGGGAGAAGATGAGGTGGAACAGATGGGCATCCCACAGTGGGACAGAAAATACAAGCCTCAGGAGAGCCTGCAAAAGAGGGCTTCTCAGTAGGGGAGAGACGGAGCTTGGGGGTTGAGGGATGGACTGCAGAGTGGAGTGAAAAGGGCAGAAGACCTGGAGCCATGGCACCCGGTTCTAGTCCTGGCGGATCTACTGTGTGACCTTGATCAGTCCCTTCACCTCTCTGAGTCTAGATTCCTCACCTATAACACGAGAGGAATGATACCCAACCCCCAGGATGGCCCAGTGCCCACATTCAAAAACAGCTTGTGTAACTGAGATGCTGTCAACTGAGAGGGGCTCCTGGCTGGGGTGGGGATGGGGGAGGTCCACTTATTTTATTTTAAAATGACTTAAAAATGAACTGCATGATCTCACTTTTATGTGGAATTGAAAAACGTTGGACTCATAAAAGCAGAGAGTAGGATGGCTGGAGGCAGGAAAAATGAGGAGATGTTGGGTAAAGGGTTCAGAGGTTCAGTTACACCAGATGAGTGCGGTTTTGGGGTCTAGCGTGCAGCCCGGTGACCGTAGTTAATAAACCTGCACTGTGTACTTGAAGTTTGCTAAGAGAGTAAATCTGGCCTCGGCTCAGAGCTTGGAGTCTCAGGGAAGCCCCTAGCTCTGCACAGTCCATGAGTCCAAGAAATGGTAGGTAGGTCCCTTTCCCATCCCATCCCTCCCAAACACAGAGGCTTGGCAGGGCCCATCCTGGATGTGCTGAGAGCTGAGATGGACTGGAGAGCAGGTGTGTGGTCAGGGAGGCTGGGGAGGGGTCCAGCATGTGTGTCTTACCGGTGAGCAGCTGGAGGTCTGGGAGGGGCTCGGAGAGGACCCCCCGGCACTGCTCCTCCACCGGCAGCGGGATCACTGACAGCCCGTCGGCCAGCTGAGGAAAGTCCTTGATGAAGTTGTTTTCCCTGTGGAGAGGAGCAGAGAGGCTGCCAGATGGAGGAAGCGGAGGCTGCAGGTGCTGCTGGGAAGGAGGGCAGGGAGCTCGTAGTCACAGAAGAGACTGACTCGTGAGCCTGTGAACGGCCTTGGTGGGATGCCTCTGGCTCCCTGAGTCCCAGCCCCGAGGCCCTGGTGCTAAGGACGGGTTCCAGAATCCAGCAGGCTGGGGCTTCAGTCCTGGCCCACCACTTACTAGCTGCGTGATCTTGAGCAAGTTCCTGGTCCACTCAGAACCTCAGTTTCCTTTTCTATGAAAGTCAGATCTCAGGGTAGTTTTAAACACTTAATGGGAGAAAGCTGCCAACTGCCTAAGACACAGTCTGATATTCTATAAACTATCTCTTTGGCTGCTAAATGTCCCTTTACATAAGCGGTGACAACGGTGAGCCAGGATGCAAGGGAACTTGAGGAGAGTGTGGAGTGCTTGAAGAAAGAGCGGGTGACACTGAGCTGGAGAAAGGAAGGCTTGAAAGAATGGGTGTTGGAGTGCTAAAGTGGAAGGATCCTAAGAGATCCTTTGGATCAAACTCCTCCTTTTAGAGATGGGGAAACTGAGGCCGGGAGAAGGGGAGCAAATTTCTCACAGACAACCAACGGGTTAGACTCAAAACCAGATCTCCCCACTCCTAGGCTAGTGCTCTTTCTTGCCCTAAATTCTTCAGGTACCTCTGTCGCTTCTCTGCAGGGCCACTCCAGGAAACAGAAGACAAGCCTCGGGGTGCCCTCGGGGCACTGAACCCTGAACAAAGGTAGTCTTAAGGTGTGGGGGATGAGGTGATAGTGCATTGCAGGGAGGCAGGCTTCCATCTTCCAGACAACAGACCTGCCTAAGAATGGAACAGCCTGCCACTGCGAGGTGGTGAGCTTGCCGTAGCTGGGAGTATGCAAGTAGGGAACTTGATAGCCACTTGGCATGGACGGTATCCAGGGCATTTCTGTATTCAGATCTGACTTTTGAGGTCCCTTCTTATTCAGAAATCCTCAGAGTTAGAGACACTAACTACAATCTGGAGAGGAGGAGGGGGAATTGAAGAACAAAGGGAAGGGGAGGTTGATCGCTTCATTTTGCCACCTGGAATGGGCAACCTTGAAATGAAAATCAGAAAGAGGCAAACAAAAATCTGTGATGCCAAAGCAATGCCTTTGAAGCCTGGATCTCGGGCAGTTCAAAGGCAGCCAAGCAAGCATTGTGACCTGGGTTACCTTCCTTTCTGTACTGCACGTCCCCATGCACTCCACCCCAGGCACCTTCAAAGCTCACCCTCTAGTCATTCATTTAGTGAACACCTTCTCGGTGTCCGACCCCTGAGCAGGTCAGAATCCAGGAGAGGACCCACTGTCTCCATCTTCAACATCACCAGCATCTTCGTCATCATCATCAGTGTCATCTTTGACAATTCCTGATTGAATCCTTAATTTGCTAGGATCTCGCTAAGCACTTTGCATCTATTTAATCATTTAATCTTCACAGTGACCCACAAGATAGTTATCATTATCTTCATTTTACATGAAAGGAAACATGAGGTTCAGAGTGAAGAGGTGGTAAATTTGGGATTGGAACCTGGTCTCTCTGACTGCACATCTGGTGAGGCAAGCGGCTGGGCCTTGGACTGTCTGCTGGGCACGCATGCGCACGACGTTGAGTTTCTAGGCCCACACTTGTACCGTTAAGCATGCTGTTGTGTGCAGCATGGCTGTGCCCGTGTTTGTCTGCAGAGCCGTACCTGCTTATGTCTACACGTGTGCCTGTTGTCGTGGGTTCCACCTGTGTTTGTGGCTGGCCTTTGATTTGTCTGCAGACTTGGACGTGGGGGTCAGCCATGTGAATAGAAAAAGAGAACCTGCCAGGGGTCATGGAGGTGCCCCCAGGTAGCATGTAACTCCCACCAGGGCCTAAGGAACTAAGTTTCTTCCTGTCCCCCTCATGAGGTGGCCTCTTGTGATACAGACCTTCCCTTAGACATACAATGAGGTGGAGACTGTCCCCCTGCCCTAGTCATTCAACTAACGTGCGCTGAGCACACACTCGGGGTGGAGCCCTGAGCTAGGTACTCAGGATCCAGAGGTAGACTGGCTTCTCCCTTTGTCCTTTAGATCTTCCCAGCTGGGTGGGGGAGACAATGGATCAGCCATACAGAACAGTCAGTAGGGCCAGCTCTCAGGGATCTGGATGGGCTGGAGGCTTTTGGCTAAAGGTCCCTTCCCCACGAGACCCAAGCACTTGTTTTATGAATAGGAGAGGGCAAGACTGAGATGGCTCTGAAGATTGAGTTCCTGATCTGCCCACACTGCATCCTAGCTGTGAAACCTGGAGCAAACCACTCAAACCTCAGTTTTCTCATCTGTAAAATGGGGATCCTAAGCGCTCTTCAGCCTGCCTTAGTGAAATCACAATAACAATGATGGCAAAAACTGTTGAGTACCTCCTATGCACCAGGCGATGTCCAAGTACTTTACATTAGTTCTCACCCAACCATATGAATTAGGTGCCCTTAAGACCCCTAGCTGGGAGGTGGAAAAGCAGAAGCACAGAGCAGTTATGTAACTGCTTAAAACCGCACAGCCGGGAAGCGGGAGATCTCAGGTGGTCTGGTCCCAAAGCCCACACTCCACATCACCGCACAGGTGTGGGGCACTGAAGACGCTGCCTGTGACAGTCACAGGCTGTCAAAGCTGGAAGAGCCGCAGCACCCCGGGGTGCACTGAGCCCAGACAGGCTGCAGCCTAAAGAAGGGGTCTGTTACTCATTGTAATTTGACCGCATACGAGGGGCTCTGCTCTCCAGGTGACTTCATGACCCTCACTCCAATGTTGTGAGATGAGTGCGATTACACCCCCTCTTGACGGATGGGGAAATGGAGGCTCTGAGACGTGAACTGACCTCCCTGGACTTACACACCAAGTGCATTTGGGAAGAGGGATCTGAAGGCAAGCTCGTCACTTTTCACTTTACCACCCAGGGTCACGACTTCACATCTCTGGCTATGCGTTTATAATCGCAGAGGAGGGGGACAGGGACACCCTTGCCAGCCCCACGTTCCTCTCCTCTAATCCTTCTGCCTTCTGTTTAAGCTGGGCTTGACTCTGGGCAAATCTGACCTCAATCTGACCTCAGGGAGTGGCAGCACAGTGGCCGACCTCAGGAGGGCAGGGGGCCAGCGCACACTCCCCTTCTCGGAGGAAGGTTTTCGCAGGACGCAGGGAGGGTCTCAAGGAAGAGCGTGAGAAGGTGGGAGACCATGGAAGGGTGGGAGTTCACAGGCCAGTGCGGAGAGCGGGGAGGGAGGGAGGCAGGGGTGGAGCAGGGAATGACAAGACAGCTGCAGCAAAGACCAAGGACCAATGATGGCCCCTCAGGACTGGGCCCCTTCGCGGCTGCCTGGGCGATGGCCACAAGTCCTGCATGGCCTCTGCCAGCAGAGGGCGCCCAGGGCCTTTGCATTAGTCAGCTCTCCCGGGAGGCAAAACGGGATGGGAAGAGCAGAGCTGGGAAGGTGCCACTGGGCCGAGAACCTCAGGCAGAACCCAGACAGCAACTTCAGAATCCACCCACCTGGGGGAGGTGATGGGGGGGATGGCAGGGTGCTGGCTGAAACTCAGTTGGCTCGAAAACAAATCCAGATTCTCAGAGCTCGTGTGTACGTGGGTGTGTGTGTAGTATAAACTACCAGGCAATTAACAAATCCTAATAAGAGGCAGATAGGAAGAAGAGTAAGTCATATTTGTTTATTGATCCTATTTGTCGATCATCAGCTATGTCCTAGGTAGTGTGTCAAGATACATGTGAATGTGTATGTCATTTTCACCACGTGAGAATTCTATACTATTATTATTCCCATTTTACAGATGAAGACATGGTTCCTCAGAGAGGTTAAGGAACTTGTCCAACTGAGGTCCACAGTTAGGAAGTGGTAATGGGGCTCCTAGCTGAGAACCTGGTACTCAGTAAGCACACATTCACTGGATCTATCCAGAGCCCGTGCTCCTGATCACCGGGATAACCTGAGACCAGGCCAGGGAGGGGTGTGCTTCCGAGCCCAGGGATATCACTGTACGTGCATATCTGTGTGTGTGCGGGTCTGCATAAGTTGTGTCTCTAACGGCGACAGGGCTACTGTTTCTTTGGACAAACATCTCCCCCCGCAAATATCCATGAAAACAGTTCAATCTCAATTGACATTATATGGAAACATTTCATAAGATTTTTAAAGTAGCAGATCCTGGGTTCCGGGGACTCAGGAGAACTCTGGGAGTGGGAGGTCTCTTTCATCCCACAAATGTGTTTTGGGGTCTCCCATGCACGCTAGGGGTACGGCAGTGGGAATTCAGAGGAGGTGCCTGGTGGAGAACGCAGGCACTGTGTGAAGGTCTCAAGGCCTCCACCATCTAGCCCCTGCCTACTCCTTCTGCCTTGTTTCATGAACCAGTGCCCCTGCCCGCGGTCCAGCTGCACTGATTGGCCCTAAGTCCCTCTGATGGGGCATACTCACTTCCTACAAAGGATTTGCCCTCTCTGGAAAGCTCTTGGCCCCCAGCCCCCTGCAGCAGGCCAACTCCTACTTGTCACTCAGACCACACATTATTCCTCTGCCCTTCAGAAACCTTCCCAAGGTCAGTTCTCCTGTTACACCCTCTCATAGCATCTTGCTCTTTTCTTCTAGGAAGAGCTTCATAGTTCCTAACCCAGATGTGCTCTTCGGGACCTTGATGGATATCTACTCTCCCACTAGACTGTGAGCTCCACGGGGGCCAAGACGATGCCTGTCCCATTTGCTGCCGCCTTCCCCAGGCCCGAGCCCAGTGTCAACTGCATACAAAGTAGGTGCTCAATGAACGTTTGTTGCGGAAGCAAAGGAAGGAAACCCAGAGACAAAAGTAATGTGTGTATGACCTGTGTGGAGTCCTTTCTGATGTTTTGTTACAGGGTACCCGAATGCTTTAGTTCCCAAGGGATATTGGGGATTTTAGTCTAAAATGCCAGCCTTTCCATAAGAAGCTTCAAAACCCTACTTTTTCTTCCTCTAACTTCCTAACATGCAGACACCCTGGCTCCCATGGAGCTCAGATACGGGCCAGGGCCACAGAGCTAGCGGGCACCAGATGGGAAAAAGTGATCTCACTCAGCAGAGGCTGGCCGGAACTCCCACTCTTGGTGAGCA